CTCTCTCTCTCTCTCTCTCTTGCACGAGGACGCGCAGGCGTTGCAGAACGGCGGGAGCCTCGTGGACGCCGCCTGCATCTCCGTGCCACCGGAGAAGCTCCCGGAGGCACCGGAGAAGGAGAAAGGAGGAGACAGAGCACACCCGAAGAAACACAGTAAAAGGAGAAGGAGAAAGGAGAAAGGAGAAGAAGGAAGCACAGGAGCAGGAAGAGAGAGAATGAGAGAGCGGGGGACTGAGAGTCTGAGTCTGAGAGATGAAGTGGGCGGGGACTGGAAGTGACTATTGGTAGACGCCCGGAGATTCTGCAAGCCATGACGTGACATGCTCGAGAATAGGATAGCGCGACACCGTGGTTTCCGGGTGCGCTTTGCCGGATGAGAGGCCATGAGTGCAGATGGCAATGGTCGAGATGCGCAGTTGGAAGCCTGAGGGCAGAAGGTCGTCTCACCAAGCTTTCGAAGGACTCGACGTTCCGGAATGCTTGACATCTTCATGTGACGCTTCCCCTCCGAGAAGTCCGTCCTCCGGTTAGGGACAGCTCAAGTTTCACGGATACATCTTGGCGGTGCATACGCAGACCGCGCTTGGTGCCCTCTTGCGGGAAGACGTAAAGACGTAAAGTTCGTCGGGTCCACCTGAGCCTCTACAAGAAAATAATGTCCGCAGCCCGGTCGGTTCAAACATAGACTTAAGTGAACTATGGCTTCTTGCATCTGAGTCTTTGCAGCTCTTAGACTCTAGGTCTAAGTGCAATCCCCTGATCGTCTCATTACGATTTTTGATTCAGAAAACAGATAGCAACGTAGAACGGCCTGCTTGTTTCATGGAGCTGGCAGCGGATGGGTATGAGGCCAGGCAAAGAGTTGCGACTCAAATCAAATGCGGAATATGTAACGGTTCTTCCAAACCCCGCCCCACCCGGCCCAGCTGCTTGTTTATCCGCGCCTCCTGCTGGCACAGCGTCTTGCCGGTGCTTTGTAAGCCTGCGAGACATTGAAACCCACAGAAATGCTGGGACAGGCAACCTTGGCGGCCGAGTATCTTGGCCCTACATGCACCCATTTGATCGCCTTGGGGTCCAGGATGTTTCGTGAGACCGCGGCAGTGTTGAAGGTGCAAGTTCTGTGATTCGGGGTACCATAATGTTTGAGCTGACATGGCCCCTGCTGCACCGCAATCTTCAGGCTGCGTGCGTTGCACGCGCGGCTCTTGCAGGAGCATCGCAAGGTGCAAATTGGCTTTCCAGGGAATGCATCTTGCTTAAAGAAGCACGCAGAAATCGAGTGCCCCTGCTAAGCCGTCCGACGATCCGTTGCTTGCTGGTGGCTTTTGTACCCGAGCTCGGACGACAGTATTCAGCGCAGTATTCGGCGCTATGTAATAGCTTTTCGTACTGCCGGTCAACCGTCGTCTTGCTTCTTGCCCTGCCACTTCTTGCTGCATCGTCATCATCATCATCATCACCATCATCGGCATCATCATCGGCATCATCATTGGCATCTTCGCTGAAACGTTTGCAGGCGTTATGCTGGTCTGTGTGAAGTTAAAGATTTTGCAAGAATTCACTTGGAGCAGAAACCCCCCTGTACTTAAGCGGTCCACGAACTTTGAACATGGCTCCAGCCTGCCAGGCGCAGGCACGCAAACACGTCGTGTAGACCTCACAGGCCGATCATTTCTGCAATCAACCCTCCACGTGTGCGGCGGGTGATTGGACCTGCGATGTCTTGAAGGGTGAAGGTTGCACCCACGTCTTGCATCGCGAGGCGGCGTGTTCTGCACCTTCGGTGGGCTGCTGGTGGGACCAAATGCACCCGTGAACGCCATGTCCAGTGAACAAAGAAATGTAATCTGATGCACAGCCATCTCCAATACGAGTTTTAAAAACTAAAACGAAAATCGTCAAGCAGACGAAGGAGAAGACCAGCAAGCGCCGCAGAAGCAGCAGCAACAACAACAGAGCTACGGCGTCTGCAGCAAAAACGAAGGCAACAGGAATGAGAGTATGTCAACGACGACATCGAGATGTTTGCGGATGTCCGCATTCTCCTCCTGCAGCGTTTGTTCTGCAGCATGTTCATACAGCTTTTTTGCCCCCACGTTTCATGCAACAGCCTTTGCAGGTCCTCAATAGGAATGGTTCGATGGAGCTATACCGTGGTTCGCAGTCCTCTTCTACCGAAGCCAGGGTCCCGGATGACACCAGCCTCAAGATGACATGATTCGCTTGGAAGGAGTGCTGAGAGAGAGTGCAGCGGTCCTTATCAGGTGTTGTGCATTTCGAAATGGGATTTTTGTATCTCGTCACGTCAGTTTTGTCTCTCCGCCCATCTTGCTATCTGTCGCTCTCTCTCTCTCTCTCTCTCTCTCTCTCTCTCTCTCTCCCTCACACTCTCTGACTCTCTGTCGCGCCATGTCATCACACATAATATGTTTCATCATGGTTATTGCATTCTCTTTTTCTTGCCTCCTTCTTCTTCTTGTTCCTATGCTTCGTCTTCTTTGTCTTCTTCTTCTTTTCTTCTTTGGCTCTCTTGCTCGCTTTGCCGCCGCAGCGCTGCCGAGGCACCCTGCGGGATGGGCCCCAAGCTGCTAAAGCCCGTACAAGGCAGGCTGGGCCAAGGCGGACAGGCTGGTAGGCACCGTTTGATTGGCTACAGGCATGCTTCACGGCGACGAGACCGGCGACGGTAGCGAGATATCTAGCAAGCTCTCCGGTGGTTGCGAGCTCTTTGACAAGTCCTTTGCGCACGAGGCCTCCGTCGCTGCACAGCTTCGATAAGTGACTCCACATGTCTTGGATGTAGCATCAAGAAAGCTCGACCAAAAAACACGGTACGCATGAAGGGCACCCGCCGCTGGGCTGAAGGCGGCACATGCGGCCAGGTCAACGGCATTCACGACAAGTGGTTCGTTTTAAGCCTGAAGCTCACCGACCAGGAAGCCGAGGACCACGCAACGCCGCACAGCAATGGGATCTTACAAGTAGCAGGTTCAAGCAAGTCTCAGGCAGATCCGTCGCTGGAGCCGCAGCAACTTGCTTCAGGACGCCCTGGATCCTGTGAGCCCGTTTCCGTTGACCAAGCAGGACTGCGCATGCCTTGGGGATAGCGCAATGGGCCGCTAGCCGATAGCCATGAGTCTCTATGGGCGTGTCGCTCCTGTCGTTCCGAAGGAGTCCTCTGCAGGTTCCGGTACCTTCATCAAGCTGCTTCCAAGCTCAATCTGTATCGCACATGGACCGCAGCAGCAAGAGACACGTCTGGCTGAGGCTTCCAGCATGGAATCGCGGGCTGCACGAATCCTTTAGACAGCAGAAGAGGGCTAAAAGGAGAGGTGTCAGTGATTTCCAACAGAACCGAACGCATCCAGAGATCTTATAGTGAAGGAGATCCATGCGTGGTGTCTCGGACGGGACCTCGGATGGAACTCCTGGTGCGGCTTCGTGTCTACGGCAGCATAGCCTAGGCCCGGATGAATGAGAAAGTCAAGGACAACACTTGCCTGCAGCCGCTCATCATCGTACCTTCGATGCTCGGCCTTCAAGCCATCGCCTGTATTCGTTGCAGATTGTTTGTGAAGGCATCATCTCTGCGATCTCCAGCATGGCCCCTGTCATGTGAAGCTGAGGAGTCCGAAACGAGTGTCATGGATGCCTGGCCGCTTCAGAATGAGTTTGCAAGCTTCGTGTTACTGTCTGTGGAGTTCTAGGATTCACGGGTTCATGTGGGAGAGTTCGTGTGGCCTCGTTAGAGACCTCGGATCGGGAACGCTATAGGCAAGTCCTATGTTTGACTTGACAGTGCAAACGCTTGGTGAGGCTAGCGATTGGCACATCAGTGCACACCAAAACAACGACCAACGTAGGTACGTCGGCAGAAGCCTAAAGTGCGCTCAAGCTGAGGGCCCGACAGTTCTGTGTTGCCCTATGCTTGCCTGAGGACCTTTCTGGGTTTCGTCTTCATCCTCTGGGACTTGGCAGCAGCCTTAGTTGGCTGCAGGAAATTTTCCCTTCGGCTGTTGCTGAGCATCGATCTGGTCTAATCCTGCAGGTGACCATACCGATGACAATGTTCGACATCCCGGGTTTCTCAGGACAGAACGTTCTGAAGCTGTTGCTGCTTCTGCCCATCGTTCGGGAGCCCGTTCCTCGTGGATCTGCGTAGGCCAATAGGTGGCAAGACCATTCAAACAAGATTTCCCTTTCTGTGTGCGACAGACTTCTTGGACCTCATGGGGCGGGTCACCTTCGGGTACTTCCTCATGGATGTCTTTCTGCACTTCATCTTCGCGGTGGACATCAAAGGCCTCATTCTTTCGGGACGCGGGCCTCGTTGCCTGAGTAGCGAGGCCAAAGCATTTGCCAAAGGTCTTCTTATCCGATCCCCAGCGTGTCCTGTGAGGCCAGCTGGAAATGCGGCCTGGGGTTTCTTGGCTTTTCCCGTTTTGCCACCATACAGATGGGATCAAACTCCTCTATTCAGCTGCTGCGCCAGCCATCAAGCAGCCCAAGCAGCACTGGCATGATGCATCGTGTCCCACAACGCGAGGTCATTGCTCGCACCTACGTGCGTTCTTGGTTCTTCCTCGTGTGCGACCCAGTTCCGTCAAGTCATGCGAACACTTGCCGCTGCGATTTCCATGCAGAGGATGTGCTCCTCCTGCTAATCGATGTCATGCTCTTCACCTTGGAGGCAATTGCAACCGGCGGAGGCGCAAAGGGAAAGTGAGGGCGACCCAGGTGCACCCCCCCTCCTTTTGCACTCTGCCCCAAGCGGTTTGCACCCGCGGGTTTACTCCTCGAAGCCTAAGCCATGACTCTGGTAGATTTCAATGGGTTTGCGCAGATTTTCCCTCAGAAGCTCTGTTTTTGGAAGCCGGAGCTCGAAGAAAGAATTCCACGAGGGAAGGGCTGGAAACCTGACTACTAGTACCCAGTCTTGGTTGCAGATGCGATGAGTGGCCTGAAGACGATGCGGCTCCTTCGCTCTCTGCGGCTTCTTCGCCTGATGCGGCTGCTCCGGATCGGCAAGCTGAAGGAGGCAGGGGAAAGGGCTTGTGTGGATTTCTGACGCGAGTATTTTTCTCATTTGTGAAGCAGGTTCTACAGATTCTGGCCAATCGCTTCTCCTCCCTCTACTTCCTCATGATCCTGAAGGCCTGTCTCTTGTTGCACTCGTGGAGGCTTTCTGTACGGAACATGACCGTTTTTCCTTTGGTCTTGTGCCGCCAGATCCTGTCCGGTTTTGGCATGGTCCTTGCCGTGAACCACTTCATTGCCTGCTCTTGGTATGGCAGCCTGGAAGCACGTGTGGCTTTGCTCGGGTAAGAGCCAAAAAGCTCAGAACGAGCTGCAACCAGAGTGCCGACTGGTACAAGACTTCTTTAATGCCTGTTCACAACCCCAAAAGAGCGTTGGGAGCTGGGACTCCGGAGCTTCGGGCCTTGGTCAGGGGCTGTAACTTTAGGCAGAGAGGCAGAGTGATCAGAGTGAGGAGTGGGCCTCATACACGTGGACACGGTCAGCTGGCTCACCGAGTCGCAGATGCAAGAGGTGGGGATTTTGAGGGAGATTTGACGCTTCGAGACCATGTCGGGTTCTGGCATCAGGCCAGCTTCGCAGAGGGCTACATTACGGCTCGGGGCTCGGTGAACCAGCAGTCAGCCGCAGAGCCGCTTTGCATCCGTCTGAAGGCAATGCACTGGAGCTTGACCCAGTTCACTCCAGCGACCAACAACGTTGCGCCTGCAGCTTGTCACCGTTGTGAGACTGAATCAGGTGCTGCGCCGCCGCGGTGATAGGACAGCAAGCGCTGCTATGCAGATCCAAGTCACTTTGTCTCCAATGCAAGCGACCGCAACCAAGGCAAATTACCTCGAGAGGACTGTGCCGCAGATCGAGTTGCGACTTCTGCCGTTTTGCCCACTGACCAGCCCGAACCCACAGTCGCAACACAGACAAGACCAGCAAAGCCAAGCAGAACATTTGACCTTGCACAAGCTGAAGAACAGCACACCATGCGCCCGAAACCCAAGGAGTTGACCCTTCGCTCGCACTGAAGGATGGTAGCCGTTTTCGTGATCTTGTTGGCCATGGGGGTCTTCTCCTCCTTCGTCAGCTCCCTGCCCAAGAAAATGCAAATTTCCACGACTCAAGCGTTACTCGCGGCGACATGTGCCCTCAACAGCCGAAAGAAGCCTGAAGCATTCTTTTTGTGTGTGGGCGCGTAATATCATACAGTCCGAGGTTCTGATCGAACTGTGACTTGTAGCTTGGTAGCTGTCTTCCAGCGACCCGCAGAGAAAGGAGGCACATGCGACCTCGCGCATTTGCCAAGGCTCCATAACCAGTGCAGTAAATTCCTTGCGGGCGGTTCGCATGGAGCAGATCAAGCAGGACTGGCCCGGCAGAGGTGGAGAGGAAAGCTCGCACCTTCACGGCCAACGATCAGGGTCGCCGAAGAGAGATGTGGTTGAATGCCGCAAGTGATCGTGGGTGGACGGCAGCTGGGACAGGAGACCAAGATCCGTCAATTCTTCAGCGAGCGCAACCTTTCTGCGGAACTCTTCAACAAAGTCCAGGATCTGCGGAACTTCTGGTTGGTTGTACGAGAGTGTTTTAGTAGTGAACATGTGTCATCTGCGGTCTCCTTGCTGGATTTCTGGCCCTTGCAGGACGTCTGCCGCAAGCGCGGGCTCTTCGAGATCCGACTGAAGGAGGAGGAGGCTTTTCGTGAAGACCTCGCGTGGCTGAGCTCTTCCCCCTTCCTTGGGCCTCCAGGGACCTCCATGGGCTCTTGGGCACCCTACTCGTATAACCCCTACACTGCCCTACACTGCCCTACACTGCCCTGAACCCTAAGCCCTGAACCCTGTTGGGATCTGTTGGGATCTGTTGGGTGTTTGGGGCCTCGGCCTTGGGCGCAGGTGGCGCTCTTGAAGGAGATCCCGGAGTCCCTGAAGCGTCGGCTCCACGAGGCGCGTAAAACTCCTCGCTCCCCGTGCGTTTTGTGTTTTTGGGCGTTTTGAGGCGGCATTTTGAAGAGCGTTTTGAATGGGGCAGAGGGGGGGGAGAAATCAGGAGATCTTCCTTCCCTTGCTGAGCATCGCGCCCTTCCTTCCTCCCTGGAGCACCTGGGCACGTGTTGTTTCTGTGGGTCCGGGTTCCTTCTGAGGACACAACACACAATGAAGCTATGATCCTCGTTCCAACATTTCTCGCCGAGCCACTGCGCAGCCCAAGGCCATTCCCAGGAGTACCGCTTCATGCGCAAGGCAGGGTCCCACCTGATCAAGATTTGTGCTGCCAGCTGATGCCAGCTGCAGCAGATTAGGCTCAAGAAGAGCAGGGTCTTGAGCACTAAGAGCAAAACAGCTCGGAATCCCAGCCACAGCACCGGAACCCAAATCCTCGAACCTCCGTGCCAGACTCCGGACCCACCCCAGAAAGCCCCCTGTATCAAGTCCGCTTGTCCTGGTTCCAAGCAGGTGTGCCATGTTGCGATGCAAGAGCGTTCTGCTCTCTCCTCGCAAGCTCTTTGGTCAAAGTGGCGCCTTAGGTGCTGAAAGGGTCCTTCAATCACGAAAGCTAGCTCGGCAGGAGCTTGGCAGTTGCAAAGAGAGCTGGGCTCGTCTGGTCTCATGAATCAGTATTTGTGGGCGGGAAGGTGGGTTTAGGGGTCATCAGTCTCACCGGAGGCCATCATGGAAGCCCACAGTCGGCACGAATCACTGCGGCACATTGCCCACGTGGGCGTATATAAGCTAGAATACATAGCAGTTGTATATCCTGGTTATAGAATACTATAAGATATATAGTAGCATATGGGTCTCTTATATACAAAAGATGATACTGTCTGTATATACTACATTCTTACCTCCGGAAGGCCGTAGGCGCAGTCTCCTGGCCAGGGCTCGAGAAATTACGTCTGAGCTCGGCCTGTTTGCAAGGCCTTTGGATTATGACTCTGCCCGGGAAGCCTGCATCCAAGTTACCCCTCCCTTCGACAACACGAAAGTCATTCCTGTAACAAGTCTTTGCATCTGCGACGAAAGAGGAAAAATCAACGGAATTCAGGCTGTTTGGGCAACCCATCGGGGCTTCGTCTGAGGATGTTTTCGTCCTGGGCGCGGACTGCAAGGAGATGATCATGGTTCAGTATGGGGCAATGGGCTACCATGCCTGGGCCTCACAGAAAAAGCGGGTGACTCTGGGATGGGTGTGTTCTGGCTGGAGATGGCTGAGGTCGTTGCCAAGGAGCGCAGAAGACGACACAGGGTGCTGGGGCTATCTCGGGGCCCGTCCTGCTCTTTGATTGCTCCCAGTGCCAGCTCTCCTAGCGGCTCCGATTTGCGCTTGCAGGACTCTTCTCGCATGCAAGATTCCGTGGAGTTCGACGTGCGGGACAGCTTCCGCGGGTTTCTGCATTTTCAGGGCCGGATCGGTGTCGCTGTCATTCCGTATTCAGCATGGAAGCTGACTGCTCGACCTTGCAGAAGTCCGAAATGTTTCCACGCATCCGATGTGTGAAACCTCGAGACGCAGGACCGAATGTCGTGTACGGTGGGAGAGATCCTCTGCATGCCATGCCTTTTCGCCAAGTGGCAAACCCGTGGCAGGCTGACGCCCGGTTGATTCAGCCCGTCACGACTGTCATCATACTCATACTCATACATCATCATGTGCTCATTTTACTACTACTACTACTACTACTACTACTACTGCGACTACCAC